GGCTGGCCTCAAACTCACAGAGATCCACCTGCCTCTGCCTCCCAAGTGCTGGAGTCAAAGGTGTGTACTGCCACCGCCCAGCTTGCAGTCTCCTTTTGCTCTAAGTTCTCAAGGGCCCCTTCAGAAGCCATCAGCCCTGCAATGTAGCATGTGAAAACTGTCTGCCAGACCAGCCAGGGCACTCAGAAGGTGATTCTGAAGACAGTCAAAAGCTCGCTTGAGACATTCTTCAGCCAAAAGCATGGACCAGATGTAATGGTCTGCAAGAGCAAGACTCAGCTCCTTGATGTGCTGAGCTACACTGGTGGGCAGGGTGGAATAGACTTGCTGTTCTCTGTGGACATGGTACCTGTGAGGCTCGTAAGATGAGTCAATGCTGGCCAGGCCTGGAGAGCTGAGGGGACCTGCCTGCCTGACAGAAGAGGGAGGCAGAATCTCAGGAGTCCTGCCCTCCCCGGGCCTCCAGTCAAAGAGCTGAAGGAGCAACCGTGGACTCCCTATGGAAACAGAACTGAGAGGGGTCTGGGGGCATTCCTATCACAGGAGACACCATCTCACCTTAGCTATTCAAATGTTCCCAAACCAGGGTCTCTATGGTCACTTCTGTCCCCACTTCACCTGATATTTATGGGGTGCCCCTTGACTGAGTGGTGGCCCCCAAAGACATGCCCACTTCCTAATCTCCAGAACCTGAGAACATGACCTCATTGGCTAGAGATGTTTCCCAGGTGGCCAGAAATGCCATTCCTAGTGTCCAGGTGAAGGCTGAGGGCAGACAGCAGTGACGGCTGCAGACTAAGGGACACTGGGGACCCTTAGGGCCGGGACCAGAAGGAAGAACCCTCTGAAATCGGCAGGGAGCAAAGCCCCACCACATTTGTGGAACTGTTTTAAGCTCCCACACTGGGGAGTCATGTGACCAGCAGGTCTAAGGGTAGTCTGAGTGACCATGCCCAGGAGCAGTGCTTTCCAGGGCTGATGTTTTCAGGACTAGGGAGTTGTAGACATAAGTAACATTAGTGGGCATTTACATTCTGGGACAAGGGAGAAGGCTCACTGGTGCTCCTCAGATACTGGTGAGTGTGTGACAGAAGCACTGCCAGGGCCAGGGCCAGGCCCAAAGCCGAGGCAGGCTTTCCTGGCCTCACACACAAACTGTGCAGATACAGGATATGGAGGTGTTCGATGACCCTGGCATCCAGCTCATGGTTGCCTCTGTCCTGAGGTGTGCCTGGGGAGGCAGCTGGAGGAGCAGTCAGCACTGTAGGCCCCTGGGCTTCAGCAAAGGCAGGCTGAAGGCCCACTTGATGACTGACTCAGGGGCATCTTTACCTGATTACATATGCAAACACCCTCTTGCCACCTCTGCAAACCTGGGGGCTAGCTTGAGAGCTAGCCATCCCACACAGAATGGGCCTGGCCAGTGAGTAGCTCTTCACTACCCCTAAGCTTTACCCTCTGAGGTGATGCCCAGGGACGGGGCCCTTCCCCCACACAACAGAGCTGGGAATGGCTGGCCAGTGGGGTGGGGTTTGCTCAAGTTTCTGCATGTAATAGCCACAGAACCACCAACTCTCTGCTCCCCAGATGAACATGGATGGGGCTTGGGGGTGCCAGTCCAGTCAGAACTTGAGCAAGCTGAGACCCAAACGCATCCTCAGGCTTCCTGATGGCACCTTGCTGAAGGTGGCAGCTACCTGACAGGGAAAGCTGGCTGCTGTGGGCAGCAGCAGGGCTAGACACACTGGGGCCCTGAGAAGTGAGTTAACAGACACTGGAGTTGTTGAGGTACCAGATAGGGAGAATGTGATGTGTTCCGTGCACACATAGTGGGCTGTCATGGACAACATTCAGTCTCCACCTGTGGGAGACGAGTCAGCATGGCCAGGGAGCTGGCTGGCACAGTGGTTCCACCTAGGCACATGAAGGTGACTTGGCAGGTGTTTCCAGGCCTTATTCTTAAGCCATTGGTGACCAAGAACTGTCGTTAGTGGCCTGTGTGCCCTGGGCAGTGACTTCCTGTGGGTCCATGTTTGAAAATTGATTCCACATACTTGGGAAAGCAGGTCAGATGAACCCTAGAGTTCTGGAACACCTTGCCAGGCTAGTGCCAGCCGGTGGGTGGGGTCAGGCCAGTCTGGGGAGGATGTGTGGGTTCTGTCGGCAGAGGAAGGCCTGGCAGTCACTACTGGCTTTGAGAATGCCTGAGCCAAGATCCTCATTCACATTTGTGTAGGTGGCTGGCAGGAAGTCTGGAGCAATGCTGGAGACTGTTCTGTCAACCTGGCCCCTTTGCAAGCCAAGGTCTCCTCAGCAGGCTGGAACTAGAGGTGGTAGCAGGTTGACCCACCCGAGGAGGCCAGAGATAGGTACCCCCCACTCCAAGGCATTCCCACCCAATCCTCACCACCAGAAGCAAGTGCAAGCCCTGGCAGAGTAGCACCATCTAGCTCCACCGAGGGAGGTGTTGGGGCTAGACATTTCAGTGGGCAAGTGAGACCAACTAAGCAACAAAATCTTATTGGCATCTCAGTGGCCATGTGTGGCTGAATGCCATCACACCCTTCCATGGCCAAGGCTCCACCACACAGATGCAGCCACTGCCCTGGAAGCTGGCAGCTGAGCTGCCAGGGTGCTGGCTCTGCCCGTGACCCCAGAAGCCTAGGTGGAGTTGAGGCTGTGCAGGAGGAAACTATAAGGCATACTCCTTGGCCAGAGGCGTAGATGCCTCACTAGAATACTTTGGTGATAGCTGTGGGCCTCCTGCCCCAGGTCTACAGGATGGGTTAGTGAGGACAAGTTTCTTGGGGTTCTCTGAGCACCTAACAGTGGCCAGCCAGGGATCTGGGCTCCATGCTGAGGGGCCTCCTCCCTCCTCCTGACCCCAGAGGAGAGGCAACAGCATGCAACCTCTGATCACAGGTAGCCCAGCTTCAGGACCCAGTCCCACGCTCACAAAGTCATGCTCACATGACTTCCATGCTCACAAAGTCAAAGAAGCCCACCTCTATTCTGGGTCACCCTCAAGCTGCCCTCCTGCTGTGTCCTCAGTCCTGGTGCATAGTGCTACATACACTGCGGGTGGCCCCTGCCAGCTCCGCTTCATTGAGGTCTATTGCCCATGGGTGGTAAATTAGGAGTTAGAGGCAAGGCTGGCTTAGAAAGCAACCCTTAGATTGCCAGGCTAATATGCCTGGAATTACCCAAGCACATCATTTTGTGCAGTTACCTGATCTTTTAATGGTGAGATGCACGTTTACAAATGAATTTAAATGACCCAGGTGGAGATTAGATTGGGGTAAGGGGCAGAGTGCACAGATGAAGAGGATTCTCTAGGGGAATGACAGGGTGGAGAAAGGGTACACCATTGTCAAAGCAACTAATGTATGTCCACTTCCAAGCCTCGTTCTCCCCTACTGCCGCCTTCGGTGGCTTTGAAGCAGCAAAGGTTAAGGCAGCCATGCAGGCAGGCCACTTTGGACACTGGACTTGTAGGGAGAGTAGGCCACTTTGATTTTTCCAAGACAGGGTTTCTCTGTGTAACAGCCCTGGCTGTCCTGAAATCCCTTTGAAGACCAGGTATGCTTTGAACTCAAAGATCTGCGTGCTTCTGCCTGGGGTGCTGGTATTAAAGGCATATACCACTTCTGTAACTGAGCATGTAAGGTAGGCATTCCGGGGATAAGCTCTTCCACCATTAGGGTCAGTCAGAAACAGCCACCAAACTGACCTTCTAGCACCTGGGGGCTAAGGCAGGGGAGGTGTTGCAGGTTAGAGGCAAGCCAGGTCTATAGACAGCAACAGCATCTCACAGCCACCCATCCCCACTTTTAAAAAACCAAAGGCATCACATAATCTTTGTGAGGTATGCATCTCCTGGATCTACAAGACAAAGCCCCAGATTGATGTTTTACCTTAGCCCGGCCATTAATCCCAGCACTGGGGATGGTAGAAAAAGGCATCAGATAACCCTAGAATTGGAGTTACAGATGGTCCTCTGGAAGACAAGCCAGTGCTCTGCAGAGCCATCTCTCAAGACCTCCCAAACCCCATCCCAGGTCATTTCTTAGGCCTTTGCCCCACAGTAGCAAAATATTCCCAGGGTCCCAGGCTGGTTCCACAACCAAACAGCTCTCTTCTATTTGAAAGAATGAGCTTTCACAGCCACATCAGCCAAGTGTGAAGTCTGCAGTCACTCAGTCCATCAGGGTGTGGCCAGCTGTGGGCAGTCAGGAAGGGCAGGTGGCTTGTCAGAAAAAGTGTTCACTTGTGTTTCACAACTTTAATAGAATATTCTAACTATTCTGTACAAATTGAAAACACCGTATTCAGTTACAAATGTGTTATCGGGTAAGGCTGAGCACGCTCTACACGGCTGGTCACTGTGGACATGGCTGTCCCAGTTGCCAAAGACCACAACCACACACTCGCAAACTCCACACACACCAACCAACTGGTCACCAAACCCAGGTGTGACCCTGGTGTGCACAGTGCAAGCTGAAGCTCTGTTCTACAGGCCAGCAATCCCCTCATGAGGGAGGACTTTGGCCCCCTGGCTACAGCCTGACACCCTCCAGAGGCAACGATAACAAGTGGTCTGCATGGCACAGAACAGCTAGTGGCAGGTGGCAGCAGGGCTTCCTCCATGGGCCTCTCTACTTGATGTCATATCCTCCTGGTCAAGTCAGCAACACGGTCTCGTAAGTGAGAGGAGGACGACAGTGAAGTTCAAAGCCCCCCCACCCCCAAGCACAAGTGAATAAATAAGCACAAGGGTGAACCAGACAGCTCTGGCCTCAGAGGTGTGTGCCACAACCCACCCAGCCCTGAAACCAAAACTCAAGGAAAAAAAGGGGTGGGTGGGTGGGGGGAACTGCTCTAA